GACCATGGAAGTTTGACGTGGTTAATGAACTTCAAGGAGCCACAAGGGCAGTTAGCTCGTTGGCTCGAAGAATTGGGTCAATATGACATGGCAGTCAAACACCGACCCGGCAAGAAACACCAGAATGCAGATGCATTATCTCGGATACCCGACGGTGAATTCCTCTGTGAAAATTACCGATTGGGTACCGATCCTGAAAGTTTGCCTTGTGGTGGTTGTTCATACTGCATGAATGCTCATAAGAACTGGGCAAAATTCACAGATACTGTGGACGATGTAATCCGACTTGCACAGAGAAATAAGGTCTCGGAAGTAGTAACTCTTACCCCCAGAGATGATGAGGACCTCCTGATCACTCATTTAGATATTGGTCATATGGATGGCCCCTTCTCTGTTAAGGTCAATGGGGTGACAATTGACAATACCGATCTCCGGCCTGACGTCGATCTCACCTCGATGGAAGTTCTCCGGAAAGAACAGGAGTCCGACGATCAATTGACACCCCTGCGTCAGTGGTTGGTTAGTAAAGAGGAACCAGATGAGGGTATCATTCTTTTATGGGACCCCGCTGGAAAAAACCTCTGGATAAACCGAGAGCTATTTTTCATCAAGGAGGGTGTCATCTGGAGGAAAAAAGATGATGACACCCAGCTAGTTGTGCCACAGTCCTTGCGCGAGGAGGTGATGAAGTTGAATCATGACCTTCCCTCAGCCGCGCATGCTGGTGTGAATCGTACGACGAGTAAACTGAAGTCCAAATACTTCTGGTATGGAATGTCTAGGGACATCCAGGAGTACATCAGAAGGTGTGCCACCTGCAACCTAAATAAGAAGGCGGTGAGGTATGGGAAGCACCCCATGATAAACTATCATGCGGGAGCCCCCATGGAGCGAGTCCATCTGGATTTCATGGGCCCACTGCCTAAAACCTCACAAGGGAATGAGTACATCCTGATGATGGTGGACCAGTTTACTAAGTGGGTCGAATGTGTCCCCCTGCCCTCCCAGACGGCTGAGGTAACTGCCCACGCTGCGGTAAGTGAATTTTTCTGTCGGTTTGGATACCCATTTCAGATATTCACGGATCAGGGCAGGAACTTTCAGAGTAAGCTATTTGTAAACATGTGTAGGTTGTTACACATACACAAGGCTAGGACTACCCCGTACCGACCCTCAGCTAATGGCCAAGTTGAACGCTTCAATCGGACATTAATGGATGCGGTCAGATGTTACATTGGGAAGTCCCAGAACCAGTGGGATCGTAATCTCGCTCAAATAGCTGGGGCCATTCGCTCTACCGTTAATCGAAGTACTGGATTCACGCCCAATCAATTGATGTTGGGGCGTGAAACCAATCAGCCAGCAGAGTTAGTTTTTTCCCCTTCCCCCATCTGTCCCTGACCGCTCACTTGATGAATATTCAGCGAAGCTGGTAGAAAGTATTCATAATGCACATAATGCTGCGAGAGCTACCCTCAGGTCGACGCAGCGACGGATGAAGCGGGATTATGACGTAAAGGTATATGTACGTCAGTTTAAGGAGGGTGATAGGGTGTACCTTTTGGATTTGGCGACCCCCAAGGGAAAATGCAGGAAACTGCAATCTCCCTGGAGGGGTCCAGCTTTAATCGTACAAAGATACACACCCTATGTATACCGAGTGGTATACCGTAACAAGGCCCTGACCTTAAACCATGATCAGTTGAAGAAGTGCTCTGATCATAGTGAACTTCCCAATCCAAACTGGAGAAAGGAAAAATACTGTTATTGCAGGACGCCTGACGATGGTTCCCTTATGATTCAGTGTGATGGGTGCGATGAATGGTTCCATGGTGAGTGTGTTGGTGTTACCCCGGCAGAGGGAATGAGTATGGATAAGTATTTTTGTCCTTTCTGCAAGTGTAGGTAACCCATTTCCTTTCTCCTTTGCAGTTATGGATCCTGACGACGCGATGGAAGTACATGCCGGCGAGGCATTGGAGGAAGTTCCGGAGGAAGTTGGGGGGGAGACCCGGTAATCGAGGGGGGAGACGACCCGTTAAGAGCAAGGATGGGGCCAATCCCACCCTCAGGGTCAGCCCGTAAGAGAACTTGGCTCCGTAAACTCCGACGGTTGAAGGGCAAGCTCCGTGCTGGGACGAGGGATTCGCCTCAGTCGGCTTCGGCCACTGGAGGAGTTCCCCTTGCCCCAGCCGGAGCTTCGGGTATACATACTCGTCCCAAGAGGGGGTTTGGTAGGGGGCGTGGGGCTTTTGTCAATTGCCCACCCACTACAGTAGGAAGGGGGAGAGGGTTTGTTGATAGAGGACTTGGTAGGGGGCTTGGTAGGGGGAGGAACCCACCTCCACCTCCAGTGGGTATGGGTAGGAGGCTTGGTGCTCCTCCTTTGAGGAGCCCACCTCCTCCCGGGACGAGGGCAGGGTTTGAGGCTCGAGAGAACCCACCCATGCTGGGGGGTAGAGGGAGAGGCATGCTCCAATATATGAGCCGGATCATGGCTTCCAGCCCTCCGAATGCCATCCCACTGTCCGGGTTCGATTCCCATTTTCACCCGGATAGGTGTGGATGGTATGGGGGCAGGCGTCGGCAGTCTAACATCTTGCCTGAGCACCCGATAGGGTTGGTTGGGGGGGTTATGAACTTTTGTGACCCCACTACTTACAGGGAACCCAACTTCCTTAGTCGGGTGTTAGCCTTACAGTCACCGGTTGGGGGTAGTGGCTGGAAGCTAGCCCTTGGGATTCATCCCAAGCATGCAACAACATACACGGAAGAAGATTGGGGTACATTTGTCGCCCTGTTGCAGAACCCCCTCGTAGTTGGGATGAGTGAAGTCGGTTTCGACTTCTCTGTCCCTTCCCAACGGTGGCCTGACCAGGAGGCGCTGTTCCTTCGCCTTCTAGGTCAGGGCACCCAGGGGAGGGTCCTCATCTTGCACTTACGAGGGGGGGCACACGCAGACACAAGCTATGCGGTGCACAAGTTGAGCCGGAGGCTACTCACCAGACAATGCTCCCCACTTCAGAGGATCCATTTACACTGTTATAACTCTGATGAAGTACAGGTGAAAGCCTGGGCCATAGCCTTCCCCCATTGTTATTTTGGTTTTACGGGGTTGGCCCGGCATTTCAATGCATCACAGGTCAGGGGGTTGCGGGCGGTGGCCGCAGATCGCGTGGTCTTGGAGACCGATTCTCCCCATCTCCCCCCTCATCCAGGAATGGGTGATAATTCACCAGACTTCCTGGGTGATGTGGGGGCGATAGTCGCAGATCTGCGGGGGCTGCCCCTAGCCGACCTGATGAGACAGACAGTAAGGAATGGGCAAGCGCTGTATGGCATATTTGGCTAAATAAGCTCATTTATTTCCCTTTTTTCCGCAGTTTTACCTTTCCCACTAGGGGGATTAGCTCCGAGTCTCTCGGATCCTCTCTAGTTTTGGGATTGGGATATCTGCGGATAAATGATTCGGGATATAAATGAATAATATAAGTTAGTTAAGTAAATAAGTTAAGTAATTGAGTAAATAAGCAATATTATATTAATATATTAAGTTAGTTATGTTAAAATAAGCAAGTCAGTCAGTACTGAAGAGAGCTATATAAGAACTAGCTATTATTGCTTTATTATTGATTACTATATCAATACACTTTACATGAATACATAATACAAGTAGTATTGAGTAAAATGGATACATTAGACATTATATATATAAATAATGACAAGGTATAATACAAGTATAGTATTGTTCAATTCATGGATCTGAGATGCACGGTCCTAAGTGCTATCAGGATCTATGATCTATATTCCTTTTTCCTAACAGATGGTAATGTTATAAAATTAGTTAGAAAAATGAAAAGTGGAATTTCGTTTTCCAGTCATAGATGTCTGGATAGTCAAATGCAGACAGGCGATCTGTTTGTGAAAGTTATGGGATTTTTTAGTGCCTTTAATTTGGAACATGATAAATATAGAGTATAATTTAATCTATTTAGTTGGGAGGAATATGGGGAATTATTAATATGGACCGCACGCATGTGCGTGCGTTGGATGGCGTTCCATACTTGATTAGCACGTACATGCGTGCGTCCTATATAAGCAGGTTATCCGCACACCGTCGAAGCAGAATTACCAGTAACCAGATAACAGAAGTATAGACTACGCATCGGAGTGCACTACAAGCAACGGAGATCATCACAGCAACCAGCAAAGGACAGCATCGACGGATTCTGACATATAGTGACGACTCTGGTGAGTAGATTTTACTTTATATGTGTGTTATACCCCCGCCCGTGCACTTGTGCTCCGAGTCATGACAATTTCACGCATTGCTGATCTTTGAACTTGGCATCTCTGTACCCCCCCCCCCCCCCCCCCCCCACTAAGCTAAATGTCGGTAGGTGCAATTTTCGAACACCCTCCTTCTAAAAATCCTGCGTACATGTAGATCTACTTCTATAACGATACTCAGCAGGATCCATAAGTTTTACATTATCACTTAGCCCTGAACTTAAGGTTATACAACTGTCGTGAATGAGTGGATATGTCACCAGATGCAGATTGTCGACCACAAGGTCCACAGTTCAAGTCCCACCGCGGCACTTATGTCCTTTGGCAAGACATTGATCTACATAGCCTTAAGGGCTCTCTCGAAATGTTTTTTTAATGATATTTTCGAGAGAGCCCTTAAGGCTAGATCTACATTTGCCACTCTCCACCCAGGTGTTAAATGGGTAACCGGTAGGATGCGAAAGCTAATGTGCTTAGATTAGCAAGTGTGCGCTTGTAAAAATGATGCACTGGCTGGAATGCTCCCCAGGGAGTGGAGAATGTGCATATATTGTGTGCCGGTAAGCCTGAATCTGATGACCGGAGTAAATATGATTGCAGGGCCCTCAGGGATCGAGAACAGTATGAATACTAATGAGGCTACCCTGGGTAAACAAGACATATCATTATTATTATTATTATAACAACAAGATTATTTAAAATACACTAACCTTCTTTTAGTCTGATCAGGTTTATAAAGACATCTCACTTAGCTCAGCTCAGGACGCTATACGGAGGCCAGGCGGGCGGGCGGGCGGGCGGGCGGGCGAGGCCTGAATGGTAGCTGAGTCGAGTGCAATGCAATGGTGCAGGTGTGTGGACAAAGCACTTGTCAATTCATAGTAAAATCTTCCATTGCCGATTCCAGTGCAAGTAAAACACATGCCTGTAAACTTATAGTACTTAGTATGCCGTCGACAGACTTAAAGCTAAATCTACTGCAACTGAAGAAAGAACTCTGAAATGGGGTGGCGTGGCAGTAGGCCTAGACCTATGTGCAAACTTCCAGGCAGAAAAATGGCGAATGTACATTTGGGCGCGGCGGATCGCGATCGCGGAATGCGGGATAAGGACCAAAAAAAAGAAACTGAGCGAATGAAAGGGGAATCCCCGGCTGCGCGTTTTTGTCTTCTATAAGGCTCACGTTCGAGGACAGTACAGTACGTGTGTGTGTGTGTGTCTGTGTATTGGGTTTTTACAGACGTACACATGCAGTGTAGTCTTTATACCCGTCTTTATATCTTAGTGGTGCAGAACTATTCTCCAATATACATCACTTATCATCATCATCATAATTATCATTATTACTGTATCATGATTGTTCATGTCTAACTGCCTCGCTCGAGTGACCTCGTTCAATGACTTCAATATTTTAAAGTGACCTATAACGTGACATTTCTTTGGTAACAAATTAATTTGTTTGCTGTATTTGCTATTTTTGCTTGTTTCACTTTGTATATCATCCCCGGATATCATCTTATGATTCTTGCCCACCTATTATTATTGCTACGCCTTCACCATTGCAACCACTTCAATCAAATGTTAATTTTATTTATGGGAACCTATAACTACAAGCTGAGCTTTTCAATATGTTCCTCCCATTTTACCCTGTATAACCTACGATTCAATACAATTAATTTCGACGTCTTCTTAAAGAATTGATTATATAATCAAAAACCGAAATTGTCCCACGCTACTTCAATGTTGCGTGAACTACACTGGCTCCCAGTTGCTGATAGAAATACCGGATACTTGTTCAAACCTTCAAATCTATGTGCTATGTCGACCACCCTTCCTGTATACATTTCCTCACTCTTTCAGCAACAGAGAACATCATATTCTCTTAGGTCTTCATCAGCTCCTAACTTTGTCAATCCCAAATCAAATCCTTTCAGTCCTTAGCCCCACGTCTCTGGAACAAACTCCCCTCGTTCTTAAGAAACAGTACTTCACTAGATTTCTTAAAACAACTGAAACTTACCTGTAGGCCTACAACTCCCTACACTGTTGATAGTCTAAGAGACAGCGCCTTAATCCAATTATTCTTATCATTATTTATTTAATGTGACACTTTAAGTATATTTCATATTAAGTTCTAATTTTGTGAATTATGTGAATTTTTTGTGTGAAATGTGAACGAAATAAACTTGAGCCTTGAATAATAATCATTAGCCTCGTTTTTGTTATTATTATCATTTACGCGTACGCGCGTGCCGCCCCCCCCCCCCCCCCCCCCCACACACACACCTGTCAGGATATTGTCGGTAAAATTGCGCTGCTGTCGGGAAAATGAGAAAAGGGGGAGGAGAAAAATGAGAGGGGAAGGGAAAGAAAAGAAAAAAGGAAAAGAAAAGAAAGGAAAGAGAAGAAAAGAAAGAAAGAAAGAGAAAAAAAGAAAAGAGGAAGGAGAGGAAAGAAAGGAAAAGAAAGAAAGAAAAGGAAAAAAGGAGAAAAAGAAACGGGGATGAATGACAGGAGAGAGAGAGAGGGGGCGAGAGCCTGAGAGAAGAGGGGTAATAGTAACAAGAGAGGGGAATGTTGGGTCAAATCGCCACGTCGAGGGAGTATAATTACGTTGCTGTGTCGGTATTCTTGCTCGATCCTCGTGTAGTGTGAGTCAAAAAAAAGTTTACACCTAGAAAATTGCTAATTATTTTAAAAATCATATATAAACAGTAAATGATTATACATCTTATGAAAGAGTGTTTTGTCCCAAATGATTTGGTATCATTTGTTTGTGGTATGTGTTCACACTTGAATGAACAGGAGGCATTGTTTGGGAGAGTACAAAAATCGAGTTGCGCCAAAGTTGCTTGTGTGTTTGAATAAAACAATTGGGATTTGGGTATTAATTCGGTCTTTGCAGATCCAAATAACATCCCTACCAAAATTAATCATGCCACATATATCAAATATCGAATATCAAATATCAACGAACATTTGTGCGTGTGTGTATGTGTGTGTGACTATGCTTCTGCAAAAAGTATGCAATGCATTTCATTTTATACATTCAATTCATCTCTCACTCCGCTGATCCCAACATAATACATGCAGTAGGCATCACTTTGGCGCAAGTCGATTTTTGCACTCTCGCAAACAATGCCTCATGTTCATCCAAGCGTGAACACAAGCCAAACAAAAATGATACCAAATGATTTGGGATAAAATACTCTTTCATGAGATGTATAATAATTTACTGTTCATATATGATTTTTAAAATAATTAGCAATTTTCTAGGTGTAAACTTTTTTTTGACTCACACGGTATATCAATGCAAAAGTTCGAAGACGGTAAAATGCATAATATCGGTCGGCATGTGATTTTTTTTTCCCTACGAACTTTTTATCGGACAATGTTTTTTGTTGAAAATTTATACAATGATTAAGAGTTAAGAGTCGGTACAACGAATCGTCTTCTTTCTCTAAAAATTAACGGAAACGTCAAAGCTTCCGCGCTTTGCGCGGAAGGGGGAGACTGAATTCAGACAGGGATTAAGAGAAATAATTTAACGAAATGTCAGAGGTCCATGCTTTGCGCGGGGGGGGGGGGGGGGGGGACTCAATCCAGACAAGGATTATGAGTAATAATTAAATGAAACGTCAAAGCTTCCGCGCTTCGCGCGAGAGAGGGGGGGGGGGGAGTGAACTGAATACAGACAAGGATTAAGAGTTGAAAAGGTACAACGAATTGTCTTCTTTCTCTAATAATTTGATGAAGCAGCAAAGCTCCTTTGCGCGGGTGGGGGAAAATTGAATTCAGACAAGGACACGTTACAACGAATCGTCTTTTTTTTCTGATAATTTAATGAAACGTAAAAGCTTCTGCGCGAGGGGAAAAACTAAATTCAGACTAGGATTAAGAGTCAAGAACGGTTCAACGAATTTTAATTTTAATACAACAACAAAAAAACGCTTATAGAGCGGCGGGCTGAGTCGTTGCGAAATTTTTGGCCCGATTTCAAAATGTTAACCCCCCCCCCCCCCCCCTCCCTTAAAAAATCCTACGTACGCCACTGGCTTCGGGCGGGATGGGCGAAAATGAATTCAGACAAGGATTATGAGTAATAATTTAATGAAACGTCAAAGCTTCCGCGCTTCGCGCGGGAGGGGGAAAACTTAATGTATACAAGGACTAAGGAGTCGAAAACATTAGGCCTACAACGAATCGTCTTCTTTCTCTAATAATTTAATGAAACGCCATAGCTTCTGCGCTTCGCGCGGGAAAGGGAAACTAAAAAATGATTTAGCTCCTGGCCCCGGATTTATAAGGTTAAATTTGTAGACATTGGGACATTGGCAATAATATATTTGTCGGTAATTGGTGGCTAGTTTTGTCGGTAATCGTTTGCCCCCCCCCCCCCCCCCCCCCCCCCGACTGAAAAAGGTCTAGCGACAAACCTGCGTGCCGCACATAATGTACGTTAACTTTCAGCGACATTCGAGCTATCGTATAATATGCATTCGTCGATCTATGCCCGGTTCTATGACTGTGACGAGAGACGACCGTTATTCTCATTGAACATTAACCAAATCAGAGATCGAGGGGGAGCGGATCGAGATGGGCAGATCGAGTGGGGCCGAATGCCTATAAGGGACAGGCCCGTGGCCACGGGGGGAGGGGGGGGGGGTAAAAAAAAAATCTGACCGTAATTTAATGCCTGCTGTGGTCCGTCCCTTGACTCTACGCCAATATACGCTTCGCTCGCTATTATACGCTCTACGTGATCATTAATACACCAGTTTGAAAAACGTTCCGGGTCTGCATGTAACATATCAGAGTGGTGGTGATGCAGATTTTTCTTCTGCCCTCCCCCCCCCCCCCCCACAAAAAAACAAACTTTTTTGCTCATTACACCAACGTCCCTGAAAGATGTGCCCCCTAGAATGTTTGCCCCCCGGCCCCCTCCCCAAACCCAAACCGTTTCCTGCGCGCCTTGCTAAAACTCGAGAACGTCTGAGGGCCCCGTCCCTATATGCAGGATTAAACCCCGACACGCATAAGTCCCTGGACCCCATCGTTACTATGGCGGTCTCAAATGAAAAGGGGGAGAAAAAAAGAGGGGGGGGGGGTTAGAGCACATATTTTGTTTTGTCCCGGATATTGAAAAATTATGCCGATCGATATTTCGTTCAGTGGGGGGAGGGGGGGGGGGGTAAGGCCATTTAAAAAACAAAAACCTTTAGCACATAAACAAAAAGGATTTTTTTTTTTTTTTTTTTTTAAATTGTACACTCAAAAGAAAGAGGGGGGGGGGGTATCCTCCTAAACCCACACATTAAAAAAAAACATCCCCTGCGTACGCGCCTGCGTGTGAATGGAAAACATCTCACCAAACTGTCTACATGGTCCGGACCAGGGAAACGATGTGTTTCCGTGGTCCAACCTCGTAGTTGGCGATGCGCACACTTAGCACTTCGTATATATATATATATATATACCCGAGCATTTGCCTTATATACGTCGACTAAATGCACAGATGTGTAGATATGTACCATGGAGTTGAGAGTTTAAACTCTTATCTCCCTGACTGTACAATCGTAGGTCCATGCAGTCCTCCCACCTCCGATCAAGCTCTCGCTAGTACTAGTCTGACCGGCTACAGCACACGCAACTCAGTGCAGTTCTTGCTTTTATTATTCGCTGATTGGTATGCAATTCACCAAAATTTACTATTTTGCTTTGATACTTGCTGTATGGCTGACTGAGACTTGTCTGTGTTTATTTTTTACAATGTTAGTTAGGGCCC